CTTGAAGAACTAAGAATCATAAACCATGAAATTGATGTTAAAATTATGAATTAATGATGCTAAAATGATCCATGAACCTTGGAGAACATTTTTATATACTTTAATTGAAGTTTGGTGAGTAAAAGTGACATTTCCGCAAGTTGGCTCGAGGTAGAAGACGATGGATAATCGATTATCAACTTGAAAATCGATTATTCATCGTTCTGCAGATTTTTGTAACAAAGCTGAGCAACAGTCGATTATCAGAATGTGATAATCGACTGTCAGCCCTCTCTGAAGTTTGATAATCGATTATCAGAGTGTGATAATCGATTATCAGCCCATTCTGAACATCAGACAGTAGATTATCAGAAGTGACAGTAGACTGTCTCCCTACACTATTGAAGAAAATGAAGCTAATAGCTAATAATTGAATTTCCTATCATATATTAATCAATTTTTATTTAGAAAACATGATTTTTGAGTTATGGAATCCTATATTTTGATACCAAACCATTATGATTAATAAAAGGATGATTTCTTGGAATAAAGATGGTGTTTTTACAACTAAAAGGGATCTTATGTGATGCATGACGGTAAGCTAGGGTGTTAACACTCGATGCTAGGCCGCTGATTGTTATTAGATTGTTCATTTGATGAATATTCTGGATAATTAAATGATTGTTGAACTAAGAATATGAATTGATGAATAATGTTGTTAAGGATATCTAGAAGAACTCTAAAGATATACCCACTTGTATAATGATGATGATTTTTAAGGATATCTAGAAGAACTCTAAGATATACCTCCTTGACCAATTCATATTTCGGGGTTAAAACGTACATACGGGATCCAGACCGGATATCAACCACCCGACAAATCATTGTTCGGTTGGTACGTAATCCACATGACTCATAGGGTGGATTATCAATTCTTGTGTTCTGCATTAAACTATGTATAGTTTAAGGGTCTGGTTAGAAATGTTGCCTTAGACTAGGAATAGCTAAGAGTTTGTTATAAAATGATTTGGCCTTAGATTAAGAATAATTTAAGAGCATGGTTGAGATATTGAATATCAAATGACTTGGAATAAAATATTGAGAATATCATGAATGTTTGAATCATATATTGTGTGCATGATATCAAATGGTTGATTATGAATTGGGATTCAATTTATTTGGATGTTCGACGCTTTAGATATGCTTATTCAGCTTCACCGCTGAGCGTGTAGTGTGTTTTATTTGCTACACGCAGGCAGATAGAGTGAATGATTGGCTGATTCCTGGTAGCAGAAGGGGCGAGACAGTCGTGGTGGATCATTGAACAAAATAAATAATTATGTTGTTATGAGACATGTTTAAAAGTCGCTTCCGCATTATTATTATTATTAAACACTCCGTATTTTCTACAATTATGTATGGAATATTATTTATAAATAAAGATGTTTGAAATGTTTTAAATTATCACGAATACCAAATCAATACTTTAGTCCAAAAGGGGCTGCAGACCTGGACGGATTAGGGTGTTACAGTCAGCATTAAGACTATCTGCATTTTCATCAAAAATCTTTCGTAGCCCTAAAAGATCAATCTCATGTAGTATCTCATCCCCACTTTTGTAGATAGGTGCCGATTCTGTCTCAACTCGTTTTTTGATGAAATTTTTCTTATCTTTACGAAACGGGTGATCAGTCGGAAGAAATCGTCAATGTGAGTCAAACCATGATTGTTTGCCACCATTAGGCAATCTAAAAGACTCAAGCTGATCCATGCAAACAGGACATGCTTTTTTTCCAAATGTGCTCCAACCAGACATCATTGCATACGCAGGAAGATCACCAATTGTCCACATCAAAGCTGCGCGCATTCTAAAATTTTGTTTTATAGACACATCAAATGTATCCACACCTTCACACCAGAGCGCTTTTAATTCTGCAATCAACGGCAGCAAGTATACATCAATCTTTTGCTTCGGATCAGACCTACCCGGAACAATTAATGAGAGGAATATATGTTCCTCTTTCATGCACATATTTGGAGGAAGATTGTATGGGGTGATCATAACCGGCCAGCAAGAGTATTGAGAGCCTGATTGCCCGAATGGCTGAAACCCATCAGTGCACAAACCCAAACAAACATTGCGAACTTCAGAAGCAAAAGAAGGATGTTTTTCGTCAAATGCTTTCCATGCTTCAGAATCACAAGGGTGACACATTTCATCTGTGTTTGAGTGTTTATGTTCAGCATGCCAACGCATTAACTTGGCGGTGCGCTCTGATGTATATAAGCGTTTCAAACTCGGTGTTAAGGGAAAGTAAAACATCTGCCTGTGTGGGACTTTAGCCTTCTCATCTTTATATCGCGGCTTCTTGCAAACCTTGCACTCAGTGAGACTTTCATCATCTCCCCAAAATAACATGCAACCAAGAATGCAACAATGTATCTTCTGAACGGGAAGGCCCAACCCGTCTATTAGCTTCTTTGTTTGGTAAAAGCTTTCAACCATTGTGTTATCCT